GCAATCCCTTCTCCTCCATTCTCCTCTCGGGATCTTGGGCACGCACGTACACGCGCCCGGCGTGAGTTTTAAGCCACCGGGTCCGGGATGCGAACTGCGGTCGACTACGTGGGAGTCCAGCAACATAGCCATTACGCTAACTGCTGGTTCCCCTAGAAATACAATTCTTGTAAGACTTGAATAACATAAAGGAAAAAATTTTAAAGCTTAAAAGTCTTCCAAATTCAAGGAAATATTAGACAAATAATTACATGTTTTACTATATCAATTTTTAATAATGTCCAGTAATTTTCCTTTTACCTCATTTTGTTCATCTGTCATTAATTCTTCATATAGCCAGTATTCCTGAAGAATTTGGATTTTGTTGTCTTTAGCAGCTTCCATGATTTCCTAATTATTATAAAAAATAATTTTTACAATAGCATATATACGTAAATCCAAAAAAGAAAAAACAACTTTTATCATTTAGGAAAGAAACACCTCTTTGCTATATCTTTGATTCTTTTATTAAAGTCTTTATTATCATGTGGCTTATATCCAAACAAAGTCTGTGTCTGAAATAACTTTTACATCTATAAATATATAAACAGGTTCTAAACATCCTTCACTTTCCAGTCCAATAACATATAGAAAATAACAGGTATTAACATTCCTTTGCGGGACCAGCAGATGGATTAATGCTTATGTGACTAGACTCTCATATAGTCGACCACGGTTCAAGTCCTGGACCTAGCAACTTAAAACTCACACCAGGCATGTGTGTGTGCATGCCCAAGATCCTGAGAGGAGAATGAAGGAGAAGGGATTGTAGTGTAGCCACACCCAGGGGGTAATTTCCCACCGCTCGCTTGCGCTCTCTCTCTCTCTCTCTCTCTCTCTCACTCTGTCTCTCCAGTGAGCATACACACCCTATAACAAAAATCTCTCAGAAAAAGCAACCTAATTCACATTGCGGTCATAATAGCCTACTCCATTTTATTTATTTTTTATATATTATTATTTTTATTTGCTATAGGGCTCATGTACTTACCAGACAGAGCCAGAGAGAGATAGAAACAGAGACAGAGTTAACCAAGAAAGCAGGCTGCCCAGTCCAAAACTTGAACCACAGTCTGCCATGTGAGAGTCCAGCACCTAAACCACCACGCCACTTGCTGGTCCCCTGTCTCTACTTTTGTTTTTTTAATTTATTCATTCCTTTATTTTTTAATTTAACCAGAGAGAGACACAGAGAGAGAGAGAGAGAGAGAGAGAGGAAAAATGAGAAAGCAAGCCACCAGGTCCGGGACTAGAACCGTGGTCAGCCATGTGGGAGTGTCTAGTGCCTTAACCACCATGCCACGTGCTGGCCCCCCCTTCTCCATTTTAAAGGACCACCATTTTGATACTGCAAACATGTTCAAAGGTTTTGATTTAAATATTTAATTATATTACTTCCCAAATGTAAATGAATTTAAAGGCTTTCAATATACCCTTTCTCTACACAGGTGTTCTTACCTGGAGTTTTTATAAACCTTCCTCTGGGTGCACAAACTCAGGTAGGAAAAAACTACATGTTTATTTCTAACAACTTCCAGCGGAAACTTACCACTCAGTTCTTTTATGAACAGACAACAAACTACAACAGTATTCACAGCACCTGTGACAATCACCAGCAGAAAGCAGATATTTTCATAGAACATTATGATTGTTGCAGACATGTTGAAATATTTGTGTTTAACCCGGCTTATATAGTAGTTAATAAACTTGCTGCTAGATCTTGCAATACACTGTAAAATATTGATATATATCACTATCTCAAAAATTTGCTCTTTTAATATTCTGATAATCATATTGCAATATAATTGGTTTCTTTTGTAATTCTATGCATTTTCTTCTTACTTTTTAAAATCCTATTTATTTTCTTGAAAAAGGCTCACAGGCTTCACCAGTCTGGCAGAGGAGTCCATGGCACAATGAAAGGTTAAGATGTTCTGCCTACATATGAATTTACTGACACAGAAACCCCCAGCCCCAAAATGGAACAACGGGGGTTAGGTGGTAGGGCAGCAGTAATGCAACTGGACCCACATGGACAAGGTCATGGGTTTGCATCCCAGGACTTCCCTGAGTGAGCACGCTGGGCACATGCACCAATATCTAGGCCAGCTGAGAGACTGGAGCGAACTTGGGTGTGAAGACCCTCCTTCAGGGGGACTGCCCGTGTGTCTGTCCCTTTATCCCCATAGAAGAAATAACTTTTTTAAAGCAGCAAAGAATATCATAACTCTCTTTACATTTTTAGCTGCACAGCAATAACGAGTCTGCAATAAAATTTTTCAAGATTTCAAGTATCTTAATTCTCAATATTCTTATAAAAGAGACAGAAAACATTGAGCCAGCCTAGAGTTGTGGTGGTTAGAGTGACTGAATCCCACCTGGCCAACTGCACAGTTCAAGTCCTAGACCTGGCGGCTTGAAAAACACACTGGGCATATGTGTGTGCATGCCTAAAAATCCTGAGAGGAGAATTTAGGAGAAGGGATTGGAGGATGGCCATCCCCTGAGGGGGTGCTTTCCTCTCTCTCTCTCTCTCTCTCTCTCTCTCCCTCTCTCCCTCTCTCTCCTCTGTCTCCCTCCAGCGAGTGCACATGCCCTAAAGCAAATTTTTAAAAAGAAACAGGAGACATCTATACCTCTTTAAAAAACAAAATCCAAAACTGGCAAAAATTAGTATACCTCATGTAAATGTAGGAGTATCAAAAAGAGAAGGGGTCACCCAGCACGCAAATTTTTGTTTCTAATACTATTCCTAATAGTATTCGCCAATAAAAAGAACCAGGGCTCCTTGGAGTAGTGGTTAATTTTAAGTCAGGGACAGAAAATATACAAGATAAACCTGGAATATCTTGTAGTGCCAGAAAATGCAAAAGTGCTAAAAAAAAGAAAAAGAAAGAAAGAAAGAAAGAAAGAAAGAAAGAAAGAAAGAAAGAAAGAAAGGAAGGAAGGAAGGAAGGAAGGAAGGAAGGAAGGAAGGGAGGGAGGGAGGAAGGAAAGGAGGGAGAAAGAAAGAGAGAGAAAGAAGAAAGAAGACACCATGATGGTGGCAGGTGAAAGGAACATGAGAGTCAACTGAAAGCATTCCCAATGGCCAAAAGGACACATGGGAACCAACCAAGGAAGTAAGGACATGAGGATGACAGGAACCAGGTTTTCTGCTGCCAGAAAAGGTCATGGTAAACACAGAAAGGGTGAAAACTAGAATGAATCCTGTCCGTGAAACTGGATATCTTAGTATAATCTCATGGTTTCTGACAGATGACACACAGAAAAATGGGAATGCAGATACAAGTCTGTGTGCATGTGTACGTTACGTAAACACAAAGAGACAAATGCAAATACACCTCTCTGTCTGCTGGGAGGTCTGGGAGCAGAGAAAAGGACAATGGGCACACCTAGCACCCAGACTTTGGTTCCTGATACCATTCTCCACTAAAAGGAACCGAGGTTCTTTGGAGAAATAGCTGATCCCAGGACAAACTACAAGATGAGCCTGGGACATCTTGTGTTGTCAAAAAGAAAAAAAGCCCTTAATGAAGGATGAGGACACTTCAAAAGGACACAGACTCCATCTCGAAATGGTTTCGGCCGAATCCGGGAAAAAGTTAAAGATGTACACAAATGATAGAAATGATTAAATCCACCGAGCAAACTAGAAACCTGTGAGTCCACACTGATGTAAATGAATGAATGAATCAAAATTCTGGAGAGAAGAGGAATATTTAGTTAGTTTCACAATACTTCCCCGCAAAATATTAATTTCAAAGAGAAAGAGAGTAACTTTACAGTACAGAAACCTGGCAGACCTCACCACAATGAAATAAATCAAAATAAATTATGAGATGAATCAAAATCACGTAACATGTAACAGGATGCGCAGAGAACACAGCGTGACTTCAGTGATATCCCTGCCAAAGATGCCTAATCTGAACCTACACATGCGGAAACATCAACAAACTCCAGCGTCTACAAATTTCGCATTCTACCATACCACCGACCTGCTCTCTTCAAAGTGTCAAGTCATGAAAACAAGGGAAAGATCAAGAGACCCTGACTGATGGAAACTAAAGAGACATCACAACTAAATGTAATACAAGATTCCGAACCGTATACAGAATGTTATTGGGGAAGCTCATGAAATTTGAGTTAGATCTGATGATTAGATGGTAGTGACATATCAATATTAATTTTCTACTTTTTTTTTTCAATTTGCAATAGGGCACATGTATTTACCGGAGAAAGAAAGTAAGAAAGCATCCCCCTCCCAGGAGGGATGGCCCATTCTCCTCTTGGAATTTTGAGCATACATGCACATTCACCTGGCATGTTTCTCAAGCCATGGGTCTGGGACTTGAACTATGCAGTCAGCCATATGAGACCCAGCCACCTTAACCACTGTACCACTGGATGGCCCAGTTTTCTGATGTTAATGACCATATAGTGATTATGCAGGAGCATACTTTTTTTTGTAGGAAATACAATATACTCAAGTATTCCAGGGTGATAGATATATTTTCAAATAATTCAAGACAAAGAAAACTTATTTTACCATACTCAACAACTTTTCTGTAAGTTTGAAGTGGTTTGAGATGAGACTGTTATATATTTTTCTAAACCACAAAAGTATATATAAAAAATACATATCCCCACACAAATACATGCGTGCATGTACACACATATTCCTACTACATCAGTAACTGCAGGCTAGTTCACCCAGGGTCCAAAACAGTCTAACCTCAAGTCTGACTCTCCAGTCTCATTTAGAGAACTCCTCAACCAAGTTTCCTAAACACACCGAACCGTAAACGGTCCCTCTTCTCTCCTCGTTCCTCAATGGCACATCCTTCCTCCTCTCCAACCCTAATATCCACTTAAGGAAATCTTACTGATCTTCAATCCATTCCAATTTCCCCCAGGTCTCGGAAGCCTTTTTTGAGTCCTCCAAAGGTTATTGCTTCTGCCTCCTTTATCCCTTGGGAGGCTCTTCAATTATTTGTTCCCATGATAAACTGGTAAAGATCTCGAGGCCAAGGGCCATGTCTACTCCTTGCATCCCTCAGAGCACTTGCCACAGTACAACCTCACCCTCTGGAATACTCAGTGTGTAGGCTCTCATGGTATCTTGACTCAGGTACTTGCTCTACTCAGGACATCATGTCCCTACGAAGTCCTCTTACTACATTTCCAGAAGACAGGAATGACAACATTATTTCCAGAACATTCTGTACCTTTTTATTACCATTACTGTGACAATGCTGGTAGTCTTAGGAGCTCATAATAAAGGCTCTTAGTGTAACTGGTCTCCTACAAGGCACTTCCCAGAAGTCCTCTGGCGAATTTAGCCCTTGGCTATTTTCTCTCTTTGCGTGAGTGGGGTACACACGAATTCCTTAAATATTGCTCCCCTCTAGGACATCCATGACCTAATTTCAAGAATCTATGATGCAGATTACACTGGAAAGGAGAGTTAAGTTTGCAGACTGAAATAAAGTTCTCACCAGCTGACTTCGAAATGTGCAGATCCTCCTGGATTAACCGTGGGGGTCCAATGTAAACTCCAGGGTCCTTAAAGGTGAAAGAGGAAAACTAGAGAAAACTCAGAGTGAGCTATGAGGACAGGAGTATGGTCAGAGATGTAACCTGGCTGGTTGTGAAAACAAAGATGCTTCTCAGCTAAGTGAGGTGAACGACCTCTAGAAGCAGAAAGGCAGGCAGTTCTGCCCACAGGCTGCTTTTAACTCAGTGAGACCTGGGTAGGACTTCCAAACTACAGAACTCCAAAATCATAAAACGTGTGTGTGGCACACCCATAAAAGCCGCTAATTCCATATAATTTCTTATGGTACTGAATTTAAAAAAAAAAAAATGACCGTCACCTTCTTTCGCTAAATATCACTGCAGTGCTGGGCCAGGTACGATAGCATGGAACCTTCCTACACGCATGTCTGGCAGCAAAAAGAAAGGAAACAGAACACACGTATGTTGCATGGTCTGGAACTATAGTATTCTTGTTTAGATGTCTCTTAAAAAAAAATCTGGTATATTCTGAAATGCGAGGTAGCTGACAGAACTCTGCCTCTGCCAAGCAGAACCGTCTCCTTAGGAGATCCATTTTCCTGAGGACTATCTTGAGAAACACTCGAAGAAAACTGTGGAGACACACACATGGTTTTAGGTTTCAATTTCCCAGAAGAAACCAACAGGCCATGAGGTCAGAGGCCAGGACACCACAGAAGGTTCAGTGGGTCCCGGGGCAGGTGCGGCTCTCTGCAGCCAGAACCTCGACCCGCACTGGAGGCGGCACCGAGGGGCGGGGCCACCTGGGCTGGAGGG